CGGACGTAATACGCGACCTTAATAAGTAATACTCGACCTTAGTAAATAATACTCGACCAAGTCAAAAAATATGTCCAGTATGAAACTTCATTCACATAATGCGCCGGATGTCGGACTTAGGACGGGAGTAGACTCCCAGAATCGAACCCGGGGTCTCTGCGTGGCAGTACATGGTAACCGTTCGGAGGCAGTTCAGATTTATATAGCTAACGTTTTTAAACTACGTGACAATACTGCTATACTATGACATACCGCGCAGTGTTCGCGTATGAGTGTGGTGATATTTATTTTGACAGAAAGTCTGACAATTAGGGTTTTCACGTAATTAAAAATATGTATATATATCTCATCCTTATTGCCCTGTTATATGTTAACCCTTAGATTTTCAATATTTTTTTAAGTAAAATAGAAAATGGTTTATAACTGTATAATTTAAAGCAAATGTGATGTTTGTACGCAAACATCCATTAACCTGGTTAATGGATATTTGCGTTTGATTTTATGATTATTGACATTATTTGAACTTATTTGTACGTTTAATCCTTAAGACCAAAAGAAAAAAGGTTTTTATAATAAATCACCCAAAAAGTGCCATTGAAATTCTGAAAATGAAATTCACCCGAAAAATTATGGCTGAATATTTTGAATAGTTTTTTTTTTTCAATCACCCTACACTCTTACCTTTGAGACATAAAACGATATCGTATGCGCTAAAATAATAATAGATTTATGTAATATCTAGTATTATCAGAGCCTGTAGTGGAGATGAGGTCTTTGAAATAAATTTGTGGAATAAAGTTGAGTGATAGGGTGAAGAATACAATACGTGAAAGATGTAGAAAGAGGATGTGACGACTGGAATAGATAATGGAATGTTGAACGGATGGATGTAAGAAGAATTATCAACCAGATTTATGATGCGAATGTGAATGGAAGGATTTTAAGAGGACGTCACAGAAGGACTTGCATTGACCAGATCGGGGATGTCCTCAACAAGACTGGGAACCGAAGTTACAAAATTAAAAGAAGTTGTATGAAAGGGGTAGTTGATGTATGTGAGTCTCGAAAGTCAGGATAGAGTAAGGTGGTGTTCCGTGGTCCTGTGGGACAAGGGCGTGAGCTTATGTGCTTGTCACAGCCATAGTTCAACGTGAGCTGTCCCATTATTTCAATTCAATAAAGTTTATTTCATCATATTTTTTGTTTTCTTTCTGAAGGTTGTTTTCTAACGATATTAGTATTTTTCCAATACTGAACGAGCTCGTAAACAATTAAACAGTGACCCTGAAGCGATGTTCGCCGAGGTCGATACAGGACTACGTATATTACGTCAATAGGTATTACGGAATGTACACTTCTGTACGAAATTCAATAAGTATGTAGATAGCCCTCAATTAATTTTATTATTTTCTTTCCTGTAACACTAAGGTTGCCTGGACAAGATTGCTATTTAGCAATAAGGCCGCCTGTTGTGCCTGTCTTTTTTAAATTATGTATTTGTCCCAGTGTGCAATAAAGAATATTTGTGTTCTAATGTATTGTATAAGTAACTTGTAACAGAGTTATTCCTTTACTGATTCTAAAATAAATGGAAAATTTACTCAGGCTGTCAATTTGTATTTTGTGAAGAGCACAAAATCTGGAAATTCTGGATTAAAAACAAATTTGTAAAATGATATTCAATAAAAATCCTAATTACAATTATGAAAGCGACTTCTCCTGAATTAAATTGTAATAAGGGAACAGCTCATGTTCAACTAAGGCTCTGCTCCATACAAACATTTGGTCTAAAGGCACAAAGTTAATCCAAAACTGAATTAATCAAATTAAAACTTAATTTATTTCTGACAGATACAGTCCATAATTTTATAATAGTTACACAATTATGTATGGGGTCCCATCAGGGTCTACCAATATTAAAAACAAAAAAATAAATAAAAACAGTCCACAAATTAAAAAAATTAATGCCCTGAGGCGTAAATTATTTATTCTGATATTGGGAACTTTTTCTCAGTTTTACTACTTTCTCGCATGACATATTTGAATAAGGAATTACCTATACTTTATTTTTTATAATAAAGTCTTAGAATAATAACGCATAGAATGATAGTTTCATATCAAACGAACTGTCACAAGTGAGGCAAAAATCAAATTAATGTAGTTTTAGTAGTAGATTAATTTTCGGTTTTAGTGAATATTTGTATAAAAATACAAGTTGAAACGCGTTACTTCCTTGTGGAATGTGATGTTAGTCAGATTTTATGTTTGTCTGACGTATTTTTACACTCATTTACCGCACATTTCGTCATTTTTAGCTACAATTCTTGAGCTGTTCGCGGTGCAAGTTGACCTTGAGCACTTAAGGCCCGCCCGCTCGTGTAGGCCCTTTTGGCGCGCTTCAATTTGCCTCACTTAGCATGTGCGGACTAGGTTTCTACGCGTTATTATTCTAAGAATAAAGTAAAGATAATCTCTTATTGCATATCGGTCTAGTCAGTAGATCTGATATTATGTAAACTAACCTAATGTGGATCAATATATACGTAGGTATTGGAAATCTCTTTTTAACGGTTAGATGTCATTCAACATTAAGAAACTGACAGTTGTAGATATCAATCCGGTTACATCATTGACTTACAATTATATGGACGTCGGGTCCGCGCTAAAAAGTGTCCGCACTTGTAAGGCGCTAAAATCGTATACAGAGCGCCAAACTCCGCTTTAGTCTTCATTTGTTCGACTGACAGCGCGATACTGCGATGACATTACAATTTAAATTTCGAATAGGTTGACTTGAGACATTTTTTTCGTGGTTTTTGTATTAGACCCGTCGTCCATTTATTTGTAAGTCAATGGGTTACATACTAATAATTAGTCATTTCGATTGCATTTAAACAGGATTTTATTTTGAGACTGGGCATTATCACATTATGTCGTAACGTTTTATTAATGATTGACGTCTGTCGCGTCTAACCTGTTCCCATGTCGTAACTGTGTTATGGACTTTTATTTTGTCATTGTACGATTGTCGTGTCTAGCTGTTCCCACTAGATCCAGACGACAATTTATCGGTTCACGGCAGCCGCCTTGTCGTTCGCACGACAGACTTGTCACATTTTTATCGTGACATATTATTTATCGTCAGAGGATTGTCGTGCTAGCTCTTCCCATTGTCACAACAGTCTGTCGCCGTAACGTCAAAAGTCGTGAACGACAGTTAATCGTGTTGTTCAATGTGTGAACAACTTCATTTAAATATACAAGCTACGACATGTGTTGAGTGTGTGCGTTATTATTATTATTTTATTCCAACTTGTAATTATAACTTTTTATAGAAACTAAAGAATTATTTTCGCCATTGTTCTTTCGGTTATTCAATTTGAATATGAATTAATATTCAATGAAAGCACGCAAATTTTAAGTTAGGAACAACATTATTATTCCATTAGCATTACGAGTAATGATCAATAAGTTTGTGTTTGCGAGTCAATCTGACATAGCACTTGCTTACGTTACTTAAATAAGTAATTAGCTATCAGAGATTGGAACCGGCAAAGTATATTATTTATCTAAACTTCAAACACAGAATGGACAATACCTCCCTCTCGTTTTGTAGTTCTTTATTATTGATATTTAATTAACAGGAAAGCTCCTTGTGGAAGAGTTCGTCCAGAGAAGTACTGTCACCTTACTTATTACTGCTGCCAAGTAGTAACATGAGCATTACTGCGTTCGGGTTTTGTAAGGTAAAGAGTGCTGGTGAAATTACAGGCCCACATTGGGACTTATCACCTTATGTCTGAGAGTGAAGGCGGCAGTGACAGTGCCCCTCAGATCTTTGCGATTTAAAGCTCTAAATGGCATTGCAACTGTTATGGACAGGCGTGTCGCTTAACATCAGGCGTATACGACTTCGTGTCGTCACTTGGTGTCATAGACAAAAAGCAATTATTTTCCTTCTGTTACTTTAGGAGAATAGTTTTGACAACCTCGTTGTATTATGGTTGCTGGGTGACGATTCCTGGGTGGGATCAATTTAAGATTTATAGTTCTCTAAATTCTCCTTTCTACCATAACACTTCCCGCCAAGGGAGTAGAGTCCATCCCCACGTCTTATTGTAAGAATCTCGTTCATTTCTTCCTCGAACCTGCAAGATGTGGAATGTTTTTCCATCTGAAGCATTTTCTTTTCGCTATGACATGGGGTTTTTCAAAAAGCATGTCAACAGGCTCTCAAATTCTGGCAATGCATAGACAGTCCATCTGATGTTGCAAATGTCCATGGGCGACGATGACCACCTCCCATCAAGTGACTCGTTAGCTCGTTTGCCACATCTTTACATAAAATTGTTTCCAGTCTGGGTGGGCAGTGAATTGCTGCTGCTCTGGTACTCACAGTGCAGGGAAATTTCTTAACTTGGCACCAAGCAATTATTGTGATGTGTGGTACATGATTATTTTTATTATTTGAGAGAAAGGTATAATTCACTCTTGAACTATTGTTAAATATACTATGTCTACTTCGACCTATTGTAATAACATATGGCATGCTTAATCCGTCCATGTCCCTAAAGCCGGATTTTCACTATACGAGTTCTGTCGTACCGAGTCCATTCGGATGACTACTTGGACGCTACTCGTCTCGTGTAGACACGTGCTTCGAGCGCACTCGCCACTCGGACGTCTTCCGATCCGAACAAACTCGGACGCGGTTCTATCCTTACGCGTATACTCGGATCATTTTATGAAAACTTGTAAGGTGTAAACCGAAATCCGAGTGAACTACTATACGATCTAGCTCGTACGAGCGCAAACGCTACGAGAGCGCTCGTGTAGTGAAAACCCGGCTTAACGATTGTTGTAAAAAAAGTATTATTAATTTTTTTTTGGCAAATTTAGAACTGCACGTTAAAGACAAGATATGACTCTTAGACGTTACAGTGACGGAATAAAGTCGACTAAGGACTACATCATTGAGATTAAACAATGTATATGCTTAGATTCGCAGCCACCAGCGCACGCCGTCCGGATCGCGCGATTTCAAGGAAGCAACTAAACGCGATGCGCTTGCAAGGCTTGAGGTGGAGCTCGAGCGGCTGCTCGCAACAGTGCCAGAAGCCAGGCGGGGTGCCGTCGAAAAGGAGTACAGGGGTTTCAAACAGCTGTTCTCGCGGTTTCTAGCTGAACGTGAGTATCAGTTCCACGAGCGCTATCCAATGCAATCTAGTTCCCAAATGTATAGTTGTATAATTTTAATTAAATATTATAAACATCATCACCTTATTTAAGAGCGAGATCTTGTCGGTGTAGCCTCCTCCACTCCTCACGGTTCATAGCCAAACTTTGACCTCTTTATGGCTGTTCACTTTGATCTTTATTTTTTGTTTGTTCACGAATTCGTCATTACGCAACAAATGTCCAAATATTTTCCCCCTTCTACTCTCTATTGAATTTGAAAGACTTCTCCCCAACCATTTCCAAAATTTTCTCATTTGATCTCTTTTCAATCCATTTTATTTCGACTCATCCGAAGAACAGAGTCCGATGTGATTATATAGCGAAAAGAGAATAAGTATGTTACGAGAACAATTTCGTTATTCAAACTAAGGCCTATGTAAAGGTATTTTGAGAATTTATATATCTTACTTCGTTTCGGAAATATAAAATCGAACAAAGGTCGATCTGACATCCACAGCGAAGAAGAACGAACGAAATGTACTATGTCCTGAGAACAAGTAGTCTTACACAGACCTTTGTTCTACGGATGAGTCGATTTTATCCTTTCGCCTCCAGCACATTTCAAATGACGCCAATCTCTCTCTCTGTGTTTGTTTGTTATTGTCCATGTCTCGCATCCATACAGTGCTGTACTCCAGACATAGGTTTCGATGAACCTTTTTTTCAATTGTATAGGTATTTTATAGGTGAAAATGCGCTTTTTTTATTATGGAAAGCCTGTTTTGCTATTGCGATTCTGGTCTTTATGTCTGTGGTATATTTGGAGTCTTCAGTGATAATGCTACCAACATATTTGAAATGTGGTACCTGCTCTACTGGAATGTCATTTATTTTGATGGGAGTATTTTGGAAAGCGCATTTTGCAGTTACTAATAAAATATTGTAATACAATGTTAAAATTTATAAGTAAAAAATTGCAGCCAGGGCCGGACTGAGGGCATCATAACCAAAAGACTGGTAACATTTACCTTTTGAACTAAATATGCTGTCAAAGACAGTTGTAGAGAAATGTAGACCTATAGCCTTTAGCCCAACTTTGATACAGTACAAACATGGAACTAAAAAAAGGTACCTATAAGGATCGTGCTGTCCCAGGGCAGGTAGGACCTTTTGGCTTGCTGCAGTACACACAAGTTATTGTTATCTGAGTAACTAGGTATAAGATGTTTGCTATGGTTATATCGAACCATTACCGCCGACTTTACACACGGCGGTTACTACTTTTAGTAGCGATACAAATAAATAAAAAAAAATTAATTAACTTATTTATTTAATATATTTATTAATTTCACTTTCAAATTTACAATTATCAAAACAAAATAATGTGCATAAACGAATACCGATTTTTCGTATATAATTGACTTACAATTATATGGACGTCGGGTCCGCGCTAAAAAGTGTCCGAACTTATAGGGCGTTAAAATCATATACAGAGCGTCATTCACGCTTTAGTCTTCGTTTGTTCGACTGACAGCGAAGCAA